AGCGTCTGCCTGTGGCTCAGGTCATGATCCCAGGGTCCTGGGATCAAGCCCCACACCAGGGTCCTTGCTCAGCGGGGAGCCTGCTTCTCCCTCTGCCTGCTGCTCCCCCTGCCTGTGCTCTCTCTCACTCTGTCAAAGAAATAAATAAAAACCTTAAGAAAAAAGAAAAAAGCATAGGGGTAAATCTTCGTGACCTGTGATATGGCAAAGGGTTCTTAGATATGATACCAAAAACATGACCAACAAAAGAAAGACTAGATTGAACTTCATCAAAACTAAAATCATTTGAGCATCAAAGTGCACCATCAGGCATGTGAAAAGACAACTCACAGAATGGGAGAAAATATGTATAAATCATATATCTGATAAGGAACTTGTACCCAGAATAAATAAAAACTTACAGCTCAATAATAAAAAGGCAGATATCCCAATTTAAAAATGGGCAAAGGATTTGAATGGATGTTTCTCCAAGTAAGATATACAAATGGTCACTAAACACAGGAAGAGATGCTCATCAACGTTAGTCAACAGGGAAATGCAGATCAAAACCACATTGAGATACCATTTCACCTCTGTTAAAATGGCTAGAATCAAAAAGTCAGATAATAAAAAGTACTGTTAAGGATATGGGGAAAACTGGAAGCCTTACACACTGCTGATGAGAATGTCAAATGGTCAGCCAGTTTGGAAAACAGTATGGCAGTTCCTGAAACAATTAAGCGTAGAGTGACTGTATGACTCAGCAATTCAATTCCTAGATATCTACCCAAGAGAAATAAGAACGTGTCCTCACAAAACCTCTTCATAGTAGCACTATTCATAAAAAGCAAAAGATGGCAACAGCCCAAATATCCATCAATGGATTAATGGATAAACAAAATGTGGCATATCCATTCAATAGAATATTGTGCAGCCATAAAAAGAAAGAAGACATACTTGCTACACAATTGGTGAACCTTGAAAACATATGCTAAGTAAAAGAACCCAATCACAAAATACCACATTTTATATAAGCACACTCTTATGAAATGTCCAAGATAGGAAAATCTGTAGAGACAGAAAGATTAGTGTTTGCTTAGACCTGGAGGGATAGAAGCATGGGGGAGGGGTCATAGCTAAGGGTATGGTGTTTGGTTTTGACTTGGGAATGCTCTAAAATTGACTATGGTGATAGTTGCAAATAACTGAATATAGTAAAAACCAATGAATTGTACATTTTAAGTGGGTGAATTGTATGGTATGTGAATTATAGCTCAATAAAGCTGTTTTAAAAAAAAGAAGTAACGTCTATTCTGAGATGGATGAGTAGGGGTTATACACGCTAAATGTGTGAAGAGTGATTAAGAGAATGTTTCAGTCAGGGAGAACTGTGGGAACCAAGATCAGGACTCAAAAGGGCATGAAGATTTGAAGAAATAATGGGAATTCTTTAAGCACGATGTTGTTGTTGTTGTTACTATTTATTAAATATCAACTGTTGCAGAGTAGAGATTAGAAGCAAGGGCTTTGACCTTAGGCAGGCATTTCATTTAATAGCTGGGTGACCTTGGCCAGGACACTTAATTTCTCTTAGCTTCACTTTCCTTTTTTACTAAATAGTAGGCTAATGACTGGTGCAGTCACTCTGGAAAACAGTACGGAGATTCCTCAAAAAGTTAAAAATAGAACTATCTTATGATCCAGCAATTACAGTACTAGGTATTTATTCAAAGGATACAAAAATACTAATTCAAAGGACCCCAATGTTTATAGCAGCCCTATCAACAATAACCAAATTATGGAAAGAGCCCAAATGTCCATCAACTGATGAATGAATAAAGAAGATGTGGTATGTGTATACAATGGAATATTACCCAGCCATCAAAAAGAATGAAATCTTGCCATTTGCAATGACATGGGTGGAGCTAGTGTATTATGCTAAGCGAAGTAAGTCAGTCAGAGAAAGACAAATATTGTATGATCTCACTCATACGTGGAATTGAAGAAACAAAACAGATGTACATAGGGGAAGGGAAGGAAAAATAAAATAAGATAAAAACAGAGAGGGAGGCAAACCATGAGACTCTTAAATATAGGGGCGCTGGGTGGCTCAGCTGGTTAAGTGTCTGACTCTTGATTTCAGCTCAGGTCATGATCTCAGGGTCCTGGGATCGAGCTCCAAGTTGGGGTCTGCGCTCAGCAGAGTCTGCTAGAGAATCTCTCTCTCTTCCTCTCCCTCTGTGCCTCCCCCTGCTCTCTCTCTCTCTCTCTATCAAATAAATAAATAAAATATTTTTTTTTAAAAAAAGAGACTCTTAAATACAGAGAGCAAACAGGTTTGCTGGAGGGGAGGTGGGTGGGGGGATGGGCTAAATGGGTGATGGGCCTTAAGAAGGGCACTTGTGATGAGCACTGGTGGTTATAGGTAAGTCATGAATCACTAAATTCTACTCCTGAAATACTATACTCTATGTTAACTAACTTGAATATAAATAAAATCTTAGAAAAAAAATAGTAGGCTAATGATACAACATCTGGAAAAGGACTCAGAGTTCATGAAAGGGAAAAAGGACTCTAAGTCCAAGAAAATATTTTGACAGTTACAAAGCAAGGATAATAGAATTATCCATTAGGATAAACTTTTAAAAATATTTCTTAAACAACAAGATAGCAGAAGGTATGGTGAGATATCAAAATGCCACTTAAAAAGACATGATCATTCCCTTTAGTGAGCTAAAGGGCTTCATCTTGATATTTGTGGGGATGGGTGTGTGTGTGTGTGTATATATTTTTGTGTGTGTGTATATATTTTTATACTATACCTCCTGTTCTTCATTTTTCTTTTAATCATGGCTGGTGAATGTGTAGGTATATACGGACCTACGTTATTCCTTTAAAGATTCTTTACCCACACTATACTGAAAATATTGGCTGGGGGGGTGGTACAGGCAACATATTTGAATAGACATTGCTCAAAGTAAAATGTAAAAATGGCCAATAAGTACACAAAAAGATGCTCCATACCCAACTAAATTATCCATCCAATGGTTCAGCTATTTTTGCTAAGGCTCTTGCAAAACGCTGGTGTCAGAGTATCAAATAACTGCTTTTGGTCCCTGTTATGAGAGGCCCCACCCTCCATCAACCCTTTCCCTACCTTGAACTTTCCTTGTAGAGGGAACAAATCAGCTTTTCTCTTGGCTTTTGCCTTTTCCTTTTATAGAGGTGTGGTGACTATGTGGGTATGGGATCTGAGGCTGGTTTTCAAACACACACTCTCCTGTTAGTTTCTCAGTGAAAAATTTTGCATGAGATTACTCCGGTCCTTAGCATCCTGATAATCGTCTTGTTCCTCTCCTTTTATTTTGTGCATCATGGTAGCTATGTCTTCTTGTAACTTTAAAGCTCCTCCTAGATTATTTACTTTTAGTTTCTTAGTTGTTCTTTCCAGTTAATTAAGATTTATTCAAAATCCTATATATTAAGTAAAAATTAGAAAGTTACAAATGCCCTGTTTACACTCTACCGTATAATGCATTATCTACTTTATTTAACTTGGAATTATAAATCCAAATTTGTGCTGTTAGGAAAGGCTTACCATTCACATTAAGATTTACTGCACAGAGAAAACTGTTACTGGGAGTCAATCCACCTTGGATCCTGAGCATCCCTGCACATTTTTATTGCATATACAAAGCATGTAAGACCCTGACCACTCTTTATGCAGGCAGGCCATGTCTCAGAGTTGTGTTTGCAACAAGCAACTTGGACGAATGAGGTAACATCTTTCCCTGGATACAGAGCAGGCTTGCTTCTGTTTACCATGAAAGCAACGAACTCTCCACACACACGGAGTTTCTTTCCTGTTACACAAGGCACGGCGTGTGCAGACATCCATAAAAGGGCCTGTGTCACCCCGTAGGACTTGAGGATCACTTGAAAACTAATACAAACCCATATGAAGCTCTGGCTATGGCTCTTGCCATGAGTAATAATGTCCTTTGGCTCTGACCCGGGATTCTAGTGTCTTCTGCCAGTATCCATTAAACAGCAGCAGGTTAACTTGTTACGTTTTAAGTAGGGTAAAATCTCAGATCGCATAATTCTTGGCAGGTGTTTCCAGATATTATCCCTAAATCAGTTATGCTAGTGCAATGTTTCCCACTAGGATGATTTTTGCTTTGTCTGTGCCCCGCCTGTGCTCTTAGTATTGTGTTCTACTTCACGTCTGTCTTCAAACTGACTCGCTGACTTAATTTGAATACCTTTTTGCAAAGGAAACTTTATACCACGCTAAATCTATACTATCATCATTTGCCTGAGACAGAGTATTCATTAATACACATCCAAATAAACACATGAACATCACAATTTAATATATTTGGGTACTATCTAAAATCATCCCCACCCACCTCCAGGCCCTCTCCTTTAACCCCAAGCTGATTGCATCTACAGGAGTCATGGCGGGGACAGACTGTCACAACCAATGCTTTTAGTTAGTCCATTTTGAGGTCTTCTTCCCTATAAAAAGTTCTCATCAAGCCCCCTTGTGAAGGAAAAAAGGGAGAAACTAAGTCTAGTGCTCTGACCTGCTACAGGGACAGTCGTCATCCTCCAGGTAAGTATATCCAGGACAGCCTGGCCATCAGCTGAGGGGAGTCCAGTGCCTGCTTCAATCTGAAGCAGAGAAACCAAAGTCAGACCCACCCTGGAGAGGCGTGTGGCTTGGATGAGCCCTTCTATATCCTATCCTACCTGAGCACTGCCCCTCGGAGCACCAGGGGATTGGATTCATCCTGTCTTATAAGACTGGCAGTGAGCCCCTGCAAGCTTATCTCACTCCAGTTGGAATCCAGCCCAACCAGCATCCATCAGGCTGTTGCAACCTTGAATAGTCTGGAGTCATGAATTGCCCCAAAAAGAGTATCACGGAGGAAAAATGAAATAATACACAACTGGAAAAACTGTGAGCCATAGATATATATAGATACATATATAGATATATAGATTTGGATGTAGATATACACATACAGTCTTACATAGCATTTTCACATTTCCAGGTAAGGATGGCAGTATCCCCAAATCCCACTTGAACCTCCCTTTAAAATTTACACAGGCCTAGAGGTATCTGTTGAACTGGTGAGGAGGGCCTGCCACCAGTCTTCTGGGAGAGATCACTCACCCTAAGGAAACAGTCAGAAGATAAAACCGTAATCTTTAGACTCAAAGAGAAGCAATTCTGACTAAAGCATAACATCTGTTACTCAGACTTGCCTTCTGGTCCAATCCCCAAATGGACCCATTGTTGTCAGAGTCTTATGAGGGAAGTTCGGGCCTGTGGTTAAAATTCCCCAAACTGTCAAGATACCATGGCCGAAGTTGCCCTGCATAACTATCTGTCTAAACTGAAGAAATGGGCATTCTCCCCACTTCTGCAGGTCAGTCTGAGGATTCAGCCAATTGGGGGTTCTGAAGAAATATGCTGGGCTTCACTGTTTGAGAATTCCAGAACATCAGCAACAGATAGGTAGGGGCCTGGATGAAGGGGCAGAACTACCCAGTATACATGATAATATCAAGGGGAGAAGAAAGGGAGGTGGGGCAGGAAAGGAACATAAAGGGGGGCACCCACCTAACAGTTGCCTGGATTTATTCTTAAGCACAGGTGAGAACTAGTTTCTCCATCATCCCAAATAGCTGAATCAAAGCCTTTGGGAGTTGGGATCCTACATGGGCAGATGGGGGAAAAAAACCTGTTAAAATAGAGCTCACAGTCATTACCTTATTTGGTCCTCACATGATCCCTTAGAGATTATTATCTCTATTTTACAGATGAGAAAAGATATAAAAAATTTATTCTTCTAGCTAAGTGGTCTTGTGGTAACTTGGAGTTCACCTTTGCTTCTAAAATTCTGTCAACAAATATTAAGTGGCCCCCAGTGCCTTTAGAAATAAATTGATTAAGTGCTGTAGATTACTTCTTTTTTGTTATAAAACTTTTATTACTTTAACAATAATGTGCATACATTCTAGGAATAAGAAAAAATACAAATAAGCAGAATAAAAAAATTACTCATAATTCTACCACTGACTATACTTTTTGTCTTTCATCCTTCACACGTTTCTTTGTGCATATATGTAATATACAAATGTATTCTTCCTTTCAAAAATATGATATTCACATATTACTTAGTAACCTTTTTTCATTTTATATCCTGTCAGGAACCTCTTTTTGTACAAATGAGTAAAGCTCTCCTATTAAAAGACAGAGACTTGTATATTGGTTCAAAATATGATAAAAAATGAGATGAAGATTAACAACAGATGCATCTAAAATCACTAATAGCAACGAGTTAAAAGTAGAAAGATGCATGAAGGTATATCAGGAAAATGCAAATCAAAAGAAAGCTCTATGACAATGTTACTATCAGAAAAAAATTAAAATCAAGGCAAACTACATTAAATAGGGATAAGGATGGTTTCGGTTAACCTTCCAACGCATGACTATAAGTTTGTTTCTTACTCTCCTTATCTCGTCTATTTCATTCACTTCTCTAAACATATCCTCCTTGCTTAAATGCCTGTTGTGTATATCTTCTTTAAATTCCTGGAGAGACTGAATCAGCCTTTCCCTAAAAGTTCCTTCCGTTTTTTCCTCCTCCTCTGGCTCTTCTTCCTCCTCCTCTGGCTTTTCCTCAGGCTTTGGCTCTTCCTCAAGCTTTGGTTCACTCTCATTTTCTGGTTTTCCTTCAATTTTTTGACAGGGTTTCATCTTGTGAGTCTCTCTTCCTTCCTTCTTTCCTTTTCTCTTCCTTTCTTTTTTCCTGCTTTATTCCTCCTTGAATACAATTACTCCTGGGAAGCAAGGTGACCGTAAGTCAAAGGCTTGGTGAATGGACCAGTGCTCTGGACAGAGGTCTCAGCATTTACTTTCTTTGATTCAGAGCTATCATTAAATATCTTCCACTTGGGAGACTTAATCAGCAATCAGGACTTCCCTGAGCCTGCGGCTCTAACCTCCACTTTCCATTTCCTTACCTCTCTCTCGTCCCTCCCTCCAGCCTTTTTCAAGGCCTTCCCCAACCATCTCTCCGCACAAGGCAAAACACAAGGCCCTCCAAGAACTGAGTAGGTAGGGAGAACGGGCCGGGGGTAGGAACGGTGGGGCCCACAACCTCTGTCCCGCCCTCGCCCCCCTCCACCTCAGGGGTCTTTAAAATATTCCCCTCACCTACTTGTACTGATCCGATCGCTTTCTTCCTCCCCTTTTCTAGCCTTGTGTAGTGCTAGGAACGACAGACCTGCTGACCTGCTGACAAACGGAAAACGGGAGGGGAAGAGGGAAGGTTGGAGAAGGGGGGAGGGTGGGGGAGGGGCGAGCGCTTGGTGGGCCCACCCGCACCAAGTACCTTTTTCCTCATTAAGGTATTTGGCTATGAAACTTTCCCACCTTCTGTTTCTCCCACTTCTCCCCCCGCCCCCACAGTGCAAGTTAGCTCGAATTTCCCATCAGACAGGGAGTAGGAAAAGCAGATTATTTCCAAACTATCTTTACTGAGGCGGGGGTTGGGGGGGGGGGTAGGGTAGGTCTTGGGAAAGCGGTCTGAAGTGGCAGAGGATGATTATTTTTAAACTATCACAGGTCTCCTTATCCTTCTCCCGGGACTCCTAGTCCCTTTCCCAAGGGTCATCATTTCCTGCAGACTCGGAGGAGGGAGGTGGAGGGATGGTTTTGACCAGGGCTCCCTCTCAAGTCTCTGCCCTAGGCCATTCCCACCCTAGAAAGCCGCAAGCAGCACCTATTTTGACACCAACCTGCAAAATTCCGACAAGTTGACTCCTCTTTCCCCTGGCGTCAGGCTCCGTCGTCTGCACTGCTAAAGGAAACCTGGTACCCAGACGGGAACAAGGACCAGACTAGCAGGACTTCTGCACACGTCGACTCCTGGTCACGTGAGATCTGCGTCACCAGTGAGCTCTGGTCCCCAATCTCCACTCCCACCAAAAGCGCGGCAGAAGTGGGCCCGCCTATGCCCCCTCCCCCCCATACATCTGGCTTGTCATTCTCTGTTATTGTTGCCTATGCCGGAGGGCAAAATGTTATTTGCCTTTCTGTGACTACTAGGGAGGGGCTGCATCTTTTTTCTGGAGCTACTAAACTTTTCTACTTCTTTTAAGAATGGTCACTTCGGTGCCTTCAGCTCCCAGGATTAAGAACTCCTACATCCATCGCCCCTCCCCCAGACTCCATTTCATCTGCAGTCTGGTCCCTGGCTGTTGTGGAACAGGGTTGGTTTGGCAACGAGGTGTGAGAAAAAAAAAAAGGAGCCTGGGACAGGAGTGACATTTTAAAATTTAATTTTCATTTTATTCTTAATACTTGTATATTCTTTTTTTTAAACAAAAGTAACATGTTTTTTGGTTGTTGTTTTTTTTTTTTATATTTGGAAAAGACAAAGACAAAATTACTTTGGTTAAATGACTTAATACACGTACAGTCCTGAGAATAGTTCCTGGCCTATTGTAAGTGCTCTAAAAGTGCAAGCTATTATTATAATTATATTAGGATTTCATTTGGGGAAAACGATACAAAACTTAAAAAAAAAAAAAAAAAGTAATGTTTGACTCCAGAGCCCTGATGGCGGTATTTGCCAGGCAGCTGTGCTCCTGCAGAATCATCAGTTGTCAGGTACACATCATGATCCCAAGTGTCCTCATCTGAAAGGGAATAATAACGTACACCTCAGAAAACTGACTTTTGGGAATTCTAAATGATACCTGGCTCATATCATCTTCAACAGATACTGATTACCTTTCAGCCTCACTTCAGTCTTTTAGTATAAGTCACAAATTTGCCAATAAAAATTACATAGCTCTCGGGGCGCCTGGGTGGCTCAGTCGTTAAGCGTCTGCCTTCGGCTCAGGTCATGATCCCAGGGTCCTGGGATCAAGCCCCACATCGGGCTCCCTGCTCCGCGGGGAAGCCTGCTTCTCCCTCTCCTACTCCCCCTGCTTGTGTTCCCTCTCTCACTATGTCTCTCTCTGTCAAATAAATAAATAAAATCTTTAAAAAAAAAATTACATAGCTCTCAGAGGCAACACCTAAAAAATAGCAGGAGACATACATGTATTTTTGTTTTATGTAAGTTTGGGTGCCCCTTCGTGAGGCAGAATAAAGAGCTCAATAGATTATGTAGAAAGAAAGAAAAAAACCTTTACCCCATGTTGTTGTTTTTTTTTTTTAAAGATTTTATTTATTTATTTGACAGAGAGAGACACAGCAAGAGAGGGAACACAAGCAGGGGGAGTGAGAGAGGGAGAAGCAGACTCCCCGCTAAGCAGGGAGCCCGATGCGGGGCTCGATCCCAGGACCCTGGGACCATGACCTGAGCCGAAGGCAGATGCTTAACAACTGAGCCACCCAGGCGCCCCTACCCCATGTTGTTTTTATTTCACTTGCCCTTCTGTCACATTTTCCTATCTTCTGGGGAGCATGTGTATTTGAGTACCAGGAAACCCAAGATAGAATGGTTTGGGTCTGCCAAACAGAACACTGGTGTGACAGGAGATGTTAGTCCCAGGGCCAGAACTAGATTGTGTGACCCTGAGTAAGTTACTTTCCCTGTACTGGCCTTACCTCCCAAACAGGAGAGCCCAGGCAAGCTCTCAGAACTTTAGAAAGAAGCTTGTGATTAGTAAAACACTTCAATATGTTGTCCATGGGAAAACGGAAACATCCTGAGTGGCAGCTGCTTTCCTTCGGCTTGATGAAAATAGTTCCAGAAATCCTGAGAATGTCCTGAAAAGGGAAAGATGCTTTGCTGCCGTTATCTCATTTTATACTCTCAAGCAACCCAACTGCAAGGAGGATATTTTCATTTCTATTTTATGTAAGTCATTTCCATTATATATACATATATATGCATGCCCTAAACTAAACAAAGAATTTAAACAATATGCCCAAAGACATTATCTCCTCATATCTGAGCAGAAAAGGCCTCAGCCCAAGGCCCCACTTTTAGAGGGTCAGCATCGGGCCCTCTTCTGGATGCGTCCTCCCCAGGTAGTGAAGAGTCAGCGGGGCAAGAAGATGTGTTTACTTGGAGCCTTCATTTATTTCCTTCTAGACCACATTTGAGACACCTAAGACCCTAGAATATCCTGCCCAAAGGACCTGGAGCCCAAATCCAAGACCCGCTTGTGCCTCTTCTCTAAGTCTATCCTGAGAGTGGGCCACATTCCCTGCAGGTTCACACTAAAGGTAGAATCGAAGAGATAGCTGAAAAGGCAGAATCTCTTTCACATGAGGCTATTTGGAGAAATCTAAAGGAAAGAGTGGACGGCCAGGCCAACACGGACTCAGAGAAGTCAATGACCAGTTAGCCCAAAACAGTCAGAGAAAGCTTCAAGCAGGGGGAAAACAAAAACAAAAACAAACCCAAAACAAACCCTGACCCGAGCCTCAGAATGTGGGCAGGACCTAGATGGAGGGTGGGCAGGAAAGAAGAGCAGTCAGACTGAACCTAGGCCCTGTGGCCTTACCATCACCCTGGCCTGCCTCATGCTGCCTCGGTGGTAGAAGTACACTCGCACCTCCTTAGGGGCGTTTAAGTCTATTGCCGGTGGCTTTCATCTGAAAGCAGGTTCAATGTAAGGACTTGGTAACATGTTCTGCACTTAACCCCGAGGATTTTCTCACTTATTTTCAGGTCATGGAATCTGAATTGGTCAACCTTTCTGGACAGGACATACTTAAGCAATTGCTAAGTATTTGAAATATGCATTCCCTTGAGCCTGTAAATCTCTTCTTAGGTACTCATCATAGGAAAATATTTAATGGTGGTCACAATGATTTACCACACCAAAGTTCATAGATCTGAATTCCTAGCATCAGTCCTTTGACTTGGACTTTATACAAAGAGAAGCCCCAAGGGAAAAGCAGCAATGAAGGAACAGAAAGAGAGAATTGTTCTAGGCAATAGCAGATACGCACCCAAGCATGTGTTCATGCACATTCACACACTTGTGTGCACATTTTCATGAGCCAAGGATTCTCCCAGATAATTCTGATAGCGGATAAAGAAGACAAACTTCATGATTCTGTTAAAGCAATTCAAACTACACCAATGTACTTACCATTTGGAAATGGAAAGTAACCATTACATTATACATACATATAAATAAAAAAAGGCAAATTGAAAGTTAATATATGTAGAACTACATTTCTGTCACAACATACATATATTTATTTGGGGGCATTCAAAATATGAGCATATAATTAAATTGCACCATAACATACGTAAAGTCCACAAAATTAACCTATAAAATTTCAGGTTGTGTTATTGAGAAATGAATGAATGACTGATGTGAGCCTGTTTGGTTAGCGGGGTGCACAACCCAAATCCATCAGGGACTCCGCTGAGTTCTGAGGCCACCTTGTAACAGATGTTTACTCAGCACTGGCACTTAAATGTCATCCTTCCATTTCCGCCCCTGCCCATACCCCATCACCCACCATATTTTTTTTAAATTTTATTTTATTATGTTATGTTAATCACCATACATTACATCATTAGTTTTTTTTTTTTAAAGATTTTATTTATTTATTTGACAGAGACAGAGATAGCGAGAGCAGGAACACAAGCAGCGGGAGTGGGAGAGGGAGAGCAGGCTTCCCGCCGAGGAGGGAACCCGATGTGGGACTTGATCCCAGGACCCTGGGATCATGACCTGAGCCGAAGGCAGACACTTAACGACTGAGCCACCCAGGCGCCCCTACATCATTAGTTTTTGATGTAGTGTTCCATGATTCATTGTTTGTGCATAACACCCAGTGCTCCATTTAGTACGTGCCCTCTTTAATACCCATCACCAGGCTAACCCATCCTCCCACCTCCCTCCCCTCTAGAACCCTCAGTTTGTTTCTCAGAGTCCATAGTCTCTCGTGGTTCGTCTCCCCCTCCGATTCCCCCCCTTCATTTTTCCCTTCCTACTATCTTCTTTTATTTTTTAACATATAATGTATTATTTGTTTCAGAGGTACAGGTCTATGAGTCATCAGTCTTACACAATTCACCCACCATATTTTATCCCACACCATCTTATTGTGGGGTCTTACTGTGTTTCTCTGTCATAGTAGAAATGTGAATGAATATACTCTGAACTATTCCCCTAGGATATATTTGAGAATGAGTATTTAGTATAAAGGCAACTTTTACTTTCTAAGTGTTGCATTTATATATTTAAATTTTATCTTTAATAGTCATGTATTAATAATATTCAGAAAAATGAGACAAACCTTTGAAAACATGCAGAAGAAATAAAATATCTTACAAATATAAGTCAACCATATGTTTATTGAAATGGAAGTGTTTTTATAATATATTGGTATGTGAAAAAGGCCAGTTACAAAATGTAACTTGCAGAGGATCTAATTTTAAAAAGTAAAATGCATGTAGATATTTATATGTATGCCTGCATAGAAAATATTATAGAACAATATACACCAAAATACTAAAAGTGGGTATGATTGGATGGTTGGTGGGCTTATGGGTGATCTGTATTCTCTTTTTATATACTTCTTTGTAGATTCTTTTACATTTTCTCAGTGGGGATGTGTAACTTCTATAATAAAGAGTAGTCTGCAAATAGTGCAGTCTTATTTTATAGGACATTATTTCACATATGTACTTCTGTAGTGGAGTAGGATCTGATTTAAGAGCTCCACTACCCATTTAAGGTGTGGGGTCCTTGCAATGGTTGAATGCTTCGCATTTGGTTCCCTTGCCCTCTTTGTGACTAGTATGCCTTAAAATGAGACTCTTCTTATTGTTCTGACTATGCCTTCTCCAATCTAAGTTTGAGATAGTCAAGCTGGAGTATTAGTCATACATAGGAAAGGAGGAATCTCTTCCCTAAATTTTACCTGGTGAGAAACCTTTCTTTTTATGATAATGTTTTGCTAGGGAAAGTGATATTGTTAGCAATAATATAATATTTTAAGCAGATTATAAAATAGTTTTAGTTGCCAATTCACCAATTCAATTCTTTTTTTTTTTTTCTTTAAGTAGACTCCACGCCAGGTGTGGAGCCCAGCACAGGGCTTGAATTCACAACCCTGATATCAAGACCTGGGCTGAGATCAAGAGTCAGATGCTTAACCGACTGAGCCACCCAGACGCGCCCCCGCCCCCCCCCAAGTTCAATTCCTTTAGAAATTTACGTGAAGAGAAAAAGAAAGGATTGTATTTCTGGCTTTGCTTGACAAACAGCATTTATCTATAGTTCCTGACTTTTTTTCCAGTGGAAATGTTTTACTTTTGCAAATAAACACAATAAATATTATTATGTAAAAGCAGATTATAAAACAATGTGTATAAAATTATCCTAGTTATATTTAGGAAAGAAACTCCTCAAGAATCTACACTCAATTTCATTTATCTGATGACTCTCAAACATGTATCTTATCCACTTATTATCAATAAATATTAATTAGGTGTTTACTGGGTATTGTCAACCCAAATCTATATGTCTCTTCCAGACTTTTCGTCTCAGTTATCATCCCTGATTGGATGTGTTAGCACAATGGAGTTGCATCTGGCTGGATTCTAAAGTCAGCATATCAAATGAAATCCCACCTAGTCAAATTTACCTTTGAAATATTTAGATCCCTACTTCATAGCATATTAACATAAGTTGCAATGTTAGTGGGGGAAAAATCATAACAAAGTATTTAAGCTTATCAGTATGTAAGTTTTATGGGAATATGGATTTTTTAAATTTTATGTCTATAATTCTTATATATTTTCCAAATTCTTTACAGTTTATCTGAATTACACACACAAGACAATGAAATACATATTTTTAAGATAACTCAAACTTATTATTATTGTACTTCATCATGTTACAATTAACAGTAATTTAATCAATTCCCTGTTGCTTAATATTTAGGTTTCCTCTATATTTTCTTTTTCTATAATAAGCTAAGCCATCACTGAAATCTTTGCACAACATCATAATTATTCCCTAAGGAAAAATTTCAAGAATTGAAATTGCTAGGTCTAAAAGTTTGAAAAATCTTATGAATTTTAGATGTATATTGCCAAAGGGCCTGCAAGATAATTTAACCAATTTACAAGTATACTGACAGTCCATGTGAGTAACCTCACGTAAAATGGATAGTATGGTTTTTTTAAAAATTCCTCACTTTGACAGGTGAATAAGAGTACCCTAAAGTTTTCATTCATATATTTTGACCACTAGGGAGTCTGAATAACTTATATTTGTTCTCCATATAGATGTCTTCTTTGGTCACTTTTTGATGTCTCTTCACCAGTTTTCAGGTAGTGATAACTACTGTTATTTCGTTGATTTTTAAGAACATTTTATTACAGGTAACTATTGTTTCAGTTAGTCCGATTGGTTGTGAGATATAGATACTTAGGCTAGCTCGGCTGAAGCAGGATCCATGGTGAGCATTTATGGGGCAGTGAAGAGCACTATGATGTTAAGGGAATCTGAGAACCAACAGCCAGTTTCCAGTGGACCTCTAGGCGCCAGGACCAGCACACTATAGTGCTCTGCCATTAACTTGGCTCAGCTGCTGTCTCATTCTCCCTTCCTCTCACATCCCCTTCTCCTCCTATGTCTTGGCTCTATCTCATAGTTTCAGCTTCCTCATAATGTCACCCTGCTTGTGTATTAGGCTTTCTCAGGTTCCTAAGGTACAACCCTCTCCCCACAAAATTTCATGTACCTCACTAGCCCCAAACATGCACAAACTTGCTTAGAATTTCAGGTGGTCCATAGGCTTCCTGGGTTGAGAACACCTGGTCTAGGTTAATTGGTATAGTCAGTGAGTGGGGGGCGGCACCTGGGTGGCTCAGTCGGTTAAGCCTCCAACTCTTGATGACTCTTGATTTTGGCTCAGGTCATGGTCTCAGGGTTGTGAGATCAAGCCCTCCATCAGGCTCTGTGCTGGGTGTGGAGCCTGCTTAAAGATTCTCTTTCTCCCTCTCCCCCTGTGCACCCCCCCAAAGAAAAGAATTTGATATGGTCAGTGGGTGAGAGTTGCTTAAACACTGGCCTAAACCTGGCTGAGGGGCCACCATGGTGGGGATGGAATGGCAGGCAGCAACCCTCCAGCGAGGCAAGGCTAGAGTTCCCTGCAGGTAAGGAGGCCAGAGGTGAGAGGCCTAGCAGGCTTCATCCTTCTAACAGAACATAACTGAAACAATTATGAGGATTAAAAACTCTTGGAAGTGGAGAGGTGCCTGGGTGGCTCAGTTGGTTAAGCATGTGCCTTAGGCTCAGGTCATGATCCCAGGTTCCTGGGATTGAGCCCCACATTGGGCTCCCTGCTAGGCAGGAAGCCTGCTTGTCCCTCTCCCTCTGCTGCTCCCCCGGCTTGTGCTCTCTCTCACTCACTCTCTCTCAAATAAATAAATAAAATCTTTAAAAAGAACTCTTGGAAGTGGAAACAATAGATCATTTCTCTAAAACAGGACAAAAATAAGACACTTAGGTTCTATAGGGATTAATTTAGTGAACATGTACAATGTTGATTTGTTTTTGAAAAATTTAGGCTTAAAATT